TATTTCAAAGAATTTTTTTTGAAAAAAAAAAGTGACAAAAACGTTTCCAACACTAAGTATTTGAGATTGATATATCCGCATCTAATGGACTTTCAACCACTAAGTATTATCATGTAATGGATATTCCAGATTTCAAAACGGCGGAGGATCACTCACTCCCGGTTATCACCAGGAAACTGAGGGCATCGATGAGGCATTGTGGCCATCTAATAAAATGGCAAATCACTCTATAATATATACTCACTAAAAGCAGTGCCATTAGATTCTACATCAATTCAGTTTATTCAAGTGTCACTTCGATAAAATATATGACCAATTCAACAATCTTTTGCCTTGTTGCACCAGTTAGTACCAAAGCATTCAGTTAATACAATAAACCAATTTTCCCATCACTTGAGAATTTCGTTGATCTAGTAAACAAATGCTGAGCCATGATGACAAACACATCAGCTTCTTGCCCCATGTTAAATTGTCCAAATATCATTGTCTCCCTTAGATATTCTCCCTAACGGAGAGGGCAACCTTCAACCCAGATAAGTCTAGTTGTCCTGGTTGAATTTCAACACAGGCCAAGGACTTGATTAAGTGTATAAAATTTCCACCCATTTCATTCAACTGCTTCACATCTGTATCCCGCAACCAAACCCGCAGGATGCATACAAAGTTCCCGTGCGATCGATCATGGTTAGTTTATTATTGCAGCAAGTTTTAGTAAGCTGTGGTTCAGACGGAGATAACACTTGGATTAAACACACTAGGGAACCATATCAAATCGAAACGATTCTTGAAATTTTGTCATGCAGATTAGAGCGATTAATTTTGGTATTTCACTGCAGTGGGATGCGGTTAGCGACTCGGTAAAATTGTCATACGATTATTTACATTGCTGAAACTGTTCTTCTCTGTTTACGTCTCCTTAGAGCTCATACTACAATTGCCTTTTCTCGTGTTTTTGATTCCTGTAATAATAATTTAAGATCTCTTAATTAACCTTAGAAGAAGGCACTTAAGTTTCGAACCTTCGTGATGTGACAAGTGTAGCCCAGAAGTTGGCGCATTAATTTTTTAAATACTTCAAAAGTTTGCCTTCGATTTAATCGGACATCGGTTCAATAAAGGCCTCTGCAGAATCGTGAACCGACGTTCGTGAACTTAACTTTAGAACCAGCCGAATGACATAGACAAAGGTAGACAAACAGAAGATGAAATACATATTAAATCCGTGGCAAAAGATGGGTTTTGCAGATGTTCTAGAAGAAATAAGTTTAAGACGCAGTTTAAATGCTCAAAAGTTTGCCTTCACAATTTGCCTGCACAATTCCTAAAAAGGTGCACTTCCATATTTCGGACATTCTTTAGCAATGACATGAAAAAATATGTTGGAATTTACAACTGCAATGAGACATTTTCCCCTTTAATTTCCAAACATTAGTCTATCATCATAATCATCATCATCAATATCAACTAACTAAGTGCACGTTGGGTGTAATCCAACCAATTCACCGGACATACTTGAATAATGTTTATTAGGCTATTTTGCTTGCGTGTTCATCTTTTCGAGTGCAGGACAATTAGCAAAGGCATAACATTGCACATTCTTCACATAAAGTACGCGCACAAGAATAGCGGGCATAGAAGTGAAATCAAATCAACCTCAATGTTAACAATCAGATGCCCTTTTATTTCAGTCGTTTAAGAACGATTTTCAACGGGCGAAAAGGTTCAGATAACTAACCTTTTGTGGTAAGCTAGGAGTTGTCAGTCAGTGTTGTTTATTTCCGACTATACTTTAACTCAGGTTGATTCATGTTTCTTCATGCCACCATGCAAGAACCTGCAGGAAAAATAGGAATGCCTGGAATCTCGTTTTTCCCATTCTAAATGTACCAATTTTCAGTTGCCCAGTTTGCCAATTTCTTCATCCCCGAAGATACTTGCCTGAGATAGGGTTTCATCTTTCTTCTTGCCACCTTGCAAAAACCTGGAATAACGTAGAATGTCTGGAATCTCGTTTTTTTCTCATTCTACAAGCAACAAGTACCATTTCTTAGTTGCCCAGTTTGCCGGTTTCTTCATTCCCGATGAAACGTGCCTGATCTTCCTTCATGCCATCTTGCAAGAACCTGGAATAAAGTGGGATGACTGTAAGGTAGTTGTATTTCTCTTCTGCGAGCTCCAACTGCTATTTTTAAGTTCCCAGTTTGCCAGTGTCATTATTGCCTGAGGGTCTCATCTTTCTTCATGCCACCTAGCTTGCAAGAACCTGGAATAAAGCGGGATGACTGTAAGGTAGTTGTATTTCTCTTCTACGAGCTCCAACTGCTATTTTTGAGTTCCCAGTTTGCCAGTGTCATTATTGCCTGAGGGTCTCATCTTTCTTCATGCCACCTTGCAAGAACCTGGAATAAAGTGGGATGACTGTAAGATAGTCGTCTTTCTCTTCTACGAGCTCCAACTGCTATTTTTAAGTTCCCAGTTTGCCAGTGTCATTCGACCTTCACTAAAATAGAAATCGGAAAATCAATGTCTGCGAGGGTCCAAAGCTGAATTTAACTTGCGCAAGAATAATCCTAATTTTATAAAGAACCGTGCTGCGTTTGTCTTCTGGAGACAATCTTTAACTCAATGACTTTGTTTAAGGGAGCTTTGTCAGCAAGACTTGACTAGTACCTTGTCCCCAGGGACCCTAAAGAAATCTGACCTATTTTAGAACACCTGTGAAACTGAATCATTGTGTGTGTAACCGCACTTAATTCAACTTCATTTGGCATCAATGACTGTTAATGGCGGAAGATCAAAGCAAAAGAACGGAAAAAACAATTCCCACACTTTCTCTTAAGTTTTCTGGGTTCCGATCCGGTCCTTCCTGGCCGCCCTTCATTCTTGGCAACTTAAAAGGTTTTAAATTCACATCAGCCAGTGTCCGATACGACGTCACTAACTGCCAACCTTTAAACTACTGACCCCAAACCACTTCAGACACTAGCATTCCTCTCATTGCTTTTGTCAACTAATTGATTATCAAGTTTTAAAACATAGATTTTTATCTTTAAGAACGCTTTTATGAGCTCGCGTGACGATCGACATTTGACTATAACTCATAGTATAATGGGTTTTTGTCCGACAATTTGATCGAAATTTGATCACCGTTGACTGATAATTTTTTGGCATCTGGACTCGATGTATAAAAAAATCGATTTGATTTAATCGGTTTAAAAGCTGATTTTTTTAAGGCGTGAAAGAATCGAGTTCTTAGGTGCATGTTGAACTAATAAATAATCTTAGACGCCACTTATTTAACTCGCTTTTTTTAAATCGAAATTGTACGAAATATATGTTTGTTCATTAAGTGAATGTAAAACGTCCGAGCGGTTTGTCGATAATTGCTTTATTCAATGGAATTTCATATATTTTTGAGCTGTGTTTGATAGTGGAAGTTGTGATCAAAATGAACATCTAATTAACTTTACTGATTACCGGAGTTGATATTTTTTCTCCGGAAAAATGTAATTTGATAATAATGATTGGAAAATGCCCAGAATAACTGAACTTAGGAATCAACCTCTATCATTTAGTCCAACTTTTTCTCGCTTTCTAGATATAAAATCATCAAAGCATCCGAACTGAGATTTTTGAACTCAATTATTATTAATATTTATCATTATTAACAAAAAAATATTATTGATTATTAATGAATACCACCCATCACGTCATTTTAAGTAACAAATAAATGGGAGAAATCAAAAGTCATTCTTTCATCGACGTCTTTCATTAAATGACCCCCCGTGTGTGACCTAAAGGCTAACGTCACGTTTGTAATTTGAGAACTGATGACTGTCACGCATACTTGTAGTAACGCAATATAAATGGCTGAAATAACACCTGCCAACGGGTTGGCCCATCAGGTACTGTATTTATCCACTATCCTCTTTTTATGACTTCGAAAACAAAAGAATATTTGGCTGTAGGCTCGACTGTAGTTGCAACTGTGGCGTCGATGGTAAAGCAACACCTACTGACATCACGAGAAAGAGGTAGCCGAATTCTTGGAGTGCAACCAAGTGTCCGAAAAATCCCTTGATATATAAATAAAAAGGAAACAGACGCCATCTTGGTTGGTCTAACAAGAGAAGCGTAATGAGGAATGCTTTGTATCTTAGTCAACCAACATGGCGGCTATGACGTAACATGGAGTGCAACCACGTGTCCGAAAAATCCCTTGATATATAAATAAAAATGAAAAAGCCGCCATCTTGGTTGATCTAACAAGAGAAGYGTAATGAGGAATGCTTTGTATAGTCAACCAACATGGCGGTTATGACGTAAGATGCACCCCAAGACTACAGCCGGTTGCCATTCCTTGCCCTCTTACATCTACACTCCTCTTTCTTCGGAACAATAATGGATGACATGTCGGCAGCACTGACTATGGATCCATCGCACAGTCAGAATAATAGTAACTGCAATCTGTAAACCTGATTGAACCCTACTAGCTATGGCATATCTGGATTCGTCGCGCAAGGACACGTGACCTTTAAACGCGGCAGCCATGTTTGTTTAAACAATATATCACTCCACGCGTAGCCTCGCATTCAAGTGCTTGAGAATAAATTTATATGCGTTAAACAAAGGCTTTATTCTCATGGCCGCCGTGTGATAAAGGTCGACCATACTCTCTACTAATATCGTTTTTCTGGTTATTCTTCAGCGATTTGTCGGTTTGGATGTGGTTCAGGAGGATGTTCTGGACCGAACAGATGTCGTTGTCCCGATGGTTCCTTTTTACCTCGATGTCGGGGAAAAATAGGTATAGTATAACGTTATCTCAAAGCAATCTTAAAGTTTCTTTGCCTTTCAAGAACACGGTACCGTGACCGTGACAGTGCTGTGTCTGAGTATTTTGATTGGACAAGCAGAAAGTTTGTTTCAAATGACGTCATTACCATCAACTTCCTGCCGGCAACTGCTCGGTACCAATTCATGAATTCTGGCATGGTAATGCGCATGTCTGTTGTAGAAGGACTGTGAGATACTATAATTATTGGTACTAATCCACTTGCATGTATCTTGATCTGGCTGTTCGGTGTTCGCGTGCAGCGCGTAGATCTTTTTTCTCAACATTTTTCGTGTGACYTTTATGACATCGGGTCTTATTCGAGACCAAAAAGTCGGGACAGTATCGGGACCTTGGCGTGCGCTTTTCTAAACTGAGATTATAGCATGACTTTCGTGACTGATTAATTTGCCTGACAGAAACTAAATTGAAGATTAAGTCTAGACATTTATTGTAAATTCGATTAAGTTTACCTTAAGTCACGATCCTTCAGCGTCGTTAGGATTATGGCAAGAGCTAGTCCTTCGTTCCTTGGCGGACATCGGAAGGCGCACGTGATCTGGGAACGAAAATGAGCATATTTTACTCAAACATGTTTTTCAATCATTGACAGGTGCGAGTTCTTGTACTATTTTATGTTTTAACGGTGCTCAATGTAAGAATAATGTGTGTACGTGCAAACCTGGATTCACTGGAAAATTCTGTGAAACTCGTAAGTAATGAAAAAATAAAATGATAGACCCCTCGCAGCACGTCGGAATGCAGATCAATTAAGAAAACATGACAATAGATTTCAATTCTCATGAGACTGAAATTCTTTTGTTTTGTCCTCCAAATTGAGCTGCTTTGACATTACATTCAAGGGGTTTATTGTATCAGGAAAGTACACGCGTGCGATTATAGTAGCCACAAAGGCGTGCAATGTTTCGCGCAATATCTTGCGCAACTCACGTAAATACAATCTTTTTGTTGCGAAGAACAAAAAGCTTCTGCCTCATGAAGTAAAGAAATAGGCTTTGCACCATCACGTGATGGCAGCCATGACAAGAGGCAGGAATAATTGAATCTCGTCTAATCTGATTTACATGAGAAATAATTCAGTTTCCCAGGTGCAACAAAAGCTATTGTTGTGCGTCTTCTCAAGTATGCCATTACATGATGGTGCAAAGCCTCTATTTTGCGCGTGGAGTGATAAGCAGCTGGTAACTCCTGCTCGTAACACCACACCTTCAGTATACCTAGTTAATATTTCCCAACCCCAGGCCACGTGTGATTCCCTTGAAAACAAGTTCTTTGTTTTTTATATCCTGTCTGTTATATTCTACAGCCATTTGTACACAGCCTTGCGTGAATGGCGGTCGATGTGTCGGCCCAAACAGGTGCGCATGTCCGTATGGCTTCACTGGAAACCAATGCCAAGCAGGTATAACCGGTTATTTTAATATATCATAAACGTAACACATGAAAATAATTCCAAGTATTTTGACAAATATCTGCTATAATCAACGTGGTGCATTGTTGTCTAGCTTGGGTAGAAACATCGTTTGTTCATTATGCCTYATATAGGGTTCTTTGTACCTAAGATAGACCACAATGCATTACATTTATCAGACACAGAAAAAGTATATGGTGGTAAGTAAGTCTTGTTTTTCGTAAAGTTAAAGTCAAACCTCTAATAAGTGGGCACCCTCTATGAAGCGATCACTTGCATACTTCCCGAGAGTTACCGCTTCAAAGAGGTTTGACTGTATCTCTTACTGTTATTAATAATATCTTTGTTCTCTCCCATTAGACTACAGGACTGGACCTTGCTATACAGTGATTAAGAACAAGATGTGCCATAACCAACTTATTGGTATCGTTTGCACACGTAACCTGTGTTGCGCAACAGTTGGAAAAGCCTGGGGGAACCCTTGTGAAAGATGTAAAGCTAAGCCAGGTATGATGGTGATGAATCCAAGCGCTTGGTTAAGAATGAATCATAAAATAAGTATCATAAGATAAACCAGGTATGATCAGAGATTGGGATTATGTATTGCGCAATAGTTGGAAAAACCTCGGGGAATCCTTGTGAAAGATGTAAAGCTAAGCCAGGTATGATGGTGATAAATCCAAGCGCTTGGTTAAGAATGTTAATCTAATCTTTAGATTCCCGCCGGATTTTGAGGTCAAATATCTCGGACTCCTCTATCCTCTTCGATTCTTTATCCTGTGTTAATCAAGATTATCACTTTATACTCCTTAGAGATAAGTAGTTTTATCCAGTTAAGCGGCCTTGGTTTAAAAAGAGATTTGAATTGAAAAACGTCTTAATAAAGATTATAGAATCTTTGAAGTCAAGGCTTCAAGCTGATACTTGGTCCTAACTGACCGTTACTTAGCGGTTTATCTCCCGTTAATCGAGATTATCACTTTATACTCCTTAGAGATAAGCAGTTTTATCCAGTTAAGCGGCCTTGGTTAAAAAAATTTGAATTGAAAAACGTCTTAATAAAGATAAAGCTGGATAAACGTCTTGACAGACAGGACAAATATTAAAGATTACCTTCTGCATTGCCATATCTCGTGAGAAATTTGCCTTTGAACTTTAAGGTAGCACAGTCCATCTAGTGTGCTGTGCACTGTCAAATTGCACGATGGGTGGTTATCTGGGAATGTAATTGCAATTGGACTTCGCGTGATCAAAAATAATGACCTCTGATAGCCCCAAGATAGAGCCTAATTAAACTTAATTAAAATTAGATTCTCCTTTTCTTAACGGGTACGGAGCTAAATGAAGTTCTTTTAGGAGGGTAATCCTAGAGTATTATCTTAGCTTGTGCGCGAAATTCGCGACAAAATAGGGTTTTGGAAGGTGTCTATTAAAGTGTTTCCACGACATTGTCAAAGTTTTCGAGGGCATTTTTCTAAAGGATTTATCGGAAACGCCTTGATTGACGTCCACCAAAAGCTACTTCGTCGCCACAACAAATCCGCGCGTGGAATTAAGAAGCACTTTATAAAGAATCTTTTTCATCCACATTATTAACTTTATAAGCACTAAAAAAAGTATTTTTCATCCACACTATTAAGATGTAACGCCTTGATTGACGTCCACCAAAAGCTACTTCGTCGTCAGAACAAATCCGCGCGTGCTGATAAGAAGCACTTTAAAGAATCTTTTTCATCCACATTATTAACTCATAAGGTTGATATTTTGTTCTTGCCAGAACCATGTGAACGAGGATTTCTGCCTAACTTCAGAAGCAAGGCATGCCAAGGTCATTAGTATTTCTAATAGATTATATATGTCTTTCTGACATAAGCACCATCACAGCGCAGGGTATGAATTAATTGATGACACGAGCTCTTTAGTTTTCCTGTCAGAATACACTGACAAAGTTGCCACTCAGGGTGGGGCACAGCTTACCACGGCACGGAACAGCACGCCGCGACACAACAAAGATAGAGTGGATGTGTCTTTATGAGATAACAAGCACCTCCAGCACATGCACATGTACATGCACCTGCGGCATCTCTAGCTATCCAGTCAGAATGTTCTGACAAGTCATATCACTCACGGCCTGGCATGGCACGGTAAGGCAGGGCAAGGCACGGCACAGCATAACACAGTATGGCGCGGCACCGAACACAACACCGCGCGTCGGTGCCGTATGTCGGAACACCCAAAAAAAACCTGCTCAAATAAATTAGAAATTTAACATTTCTCTCGCTCGAGTCAAGTTTTCCCATGACTGATATTCCACATCTTGCATTGTCTGACAAACTATCAACGTTTCATTTTCCCAGACATCGACGAGTGTAAGGCAATACCAAATATCTGTGGCAAAGGCAAATGTACCAACACGGTTGGCAGCTATAAATGCGTCTGTGAGAGTGGCAAGGTTCTGGACCCAGTGTCCAAGAAGTGTATCGGTAAGTACGAATGCATCTACGCATGCGCATCTTTGAAAAGCATACATGATTCGTGGAGATGCCTTCGCTATTTCTCGTATTCCATTTTTTTTTTTCTTTTCTATCCTGATTTTCCTTTCATAATTTTCAGTTTTCACTCGGTCGCTGAGCTTGGCTTAGATGTTTCGCTAAGTTTACCACAATCTAATTCCATCTAAGATCCACCTTTCTTGATTCGCTTTAAGCCTATCTAAACTAATTGTCCTTTCATAATCTTCAGTTTTCACTGGCCATGGGTGGCGTGAGCTTCGCTTAGATATTTCGCTAAGTTTTCCACAATCTATAATTATTTCATTCAATATTGACTCTTGAAGCATACTACCTCTAATTCCATATAAGAGCCTCCTTTCGTGCTTCGATAAGCTTTTAGACAATCTAAAAGTCCCTTCTTGTTCTATTTAGCTATTAGACTCCGATACCATGCAGCGCCACTAAAGATTAAGAAACTCAACTCCTYAGCAATCTCCAGAACAATCAACAAATTATCAATTTTCTCATCCTTCCCTCGAAAAGACAACCGATACCTTCTTACATTAATTCTCGGTAAGACTTCTAAATGAAGTAGATTATTATTTTTCAAATTTTCAAAAACTTCTCAAAACAATCCTTCGGCTGATTTCAACTTTTTCTGGCATTAAACCCAAGGCACTAATTTTAAACTGCAGAGGATCTTTTTTTCGATTCACAACTGCATAAAGGCTTCTTTTCTTTTCTTCTTCCATTGTAGCCTTAACATAGTTATTCTGTGCTATGCTAATACGATTTCGTTCACAGGCAATGGCTCACGCTGTAAATTAATCCTCGTTCCAATAGTTTTTGCTTCGGTCGTGCTTACATATAGCCTCCGACGTACACGTTTTTAGTGTCTGTCACGCAACGTTTTCCTCCCTCGTGGGGAAGGAATGTAAACGTTGCGTGACACACAAAGGACATCTGCATAGGAGGCTAGCTTACAAACTGGGTCATTCAACTAGCTTCGATAGTCCCCTTCACGGTTCCCTGCGCCATCTTGAAAGGTAGCCGTGCCTTTGCATCGAAGCGAGGCGAACGGTGAGCTTGCAATGATAGAGACCTTTTTTTAATACCTTAGACAATTATTCACAGGTCCCTATCAGTGCAAGCTCACCGTTCGTCTCGCTTCGATGCAAAGGCTACCTTTCACGATGGCGCAGGGAACCGTGAAGGGGTCTATTGTTTGTACTGCGAAATTCCTTGTATTGAAAAACGCTACCTCTTTTCAAACTTCAATTTACGTCCAAAGAGATATTATTATACCACATTATGGTGGATCATTTGAGTATGATTTGCTCACGAAAAACGAATTGTTGCGATTTAAGAAATTTTGCAGTAAACCGGATCGGAATGCAAGCGTTTGGTCTAACCAAGACCAATAAAAATGAAAATAAAACAAGCTAATATCATGTTCCCTTTTTTCATTTGAAGATATTAACGAGTGTGAAACAGTCCCGAACATTTGCGCCAATGGTAGATGCATAAATACGGATGGCGGTTATGAATGTAATTGTAGCAGGGGATACGTGGCAAGCACGGACAAGATGTACTGCATAGGTAACTCATATTGCTAGGACAGAGTGCATATTCGTACACGTAAATGATAGCCTACGTAGCTGCCCAAAATGTATGGGGAATGTATGGGGGGAGGTGGGGAAGGGGACGAAGGTGAATGGGAAGAGCAGGGAAAGGAGGGCCCTCCTTTCCTCCCTCCCCTCTCCCCATTCCTTATCGTCGATACAAATGATGCTTAAAGACTGCTGAAAATGGAGCTAGGATGCATCACAGAGGTTCAGAAAGTTTTGGGAGAAAATCTTCAAATTTCATCGGACCCTAACTCAGGTCAAGGCTAATTTATCAATCGAAATGGAATCCAGCGCGTTAGGAGGATATCGAAGGAAAACGGGAAAACCAGAAATGAATCCTTGAATCAAGGGAGAGACTCAACAAATTCTAAAAATTGATGTTTGATATCACACAGATGCAACGCCTGGTTACTGTTTTGAGGACATCATCAACGGCTACTGCTTCAAAGGCTTGAGGGCAACTACAACCAAGGCAGGATGCTGCTGTTCAATGATGAAAGCAAAGGGTTGGGGAACGAACTGTGAACGATGCCCTGCTAAAGGAACAAGTAAGACCTTGGTCTTTAGGACCAGTTCAGTATTCCTCCTCCTTTCGGATCATTGTCACCTTTTTCTCTTCCTTTAACTTATTCTCATCCTATGATTTTACGCTTCCCGTTTTTGCTTTTATTTTAACTGTTTTTCGCTATTTTCAGTTGAATTTTCCCCATTCAGAGGCGTTGCCCATTCACGATTCCCTTCTTGTTCTCTTAGGTGTATATAACAAGCTCTGTGGAATGGACCTGCCAACAACAGCCATGCCACCACGTAAGTAACAAACTAGCCAAAGACAGTCCCATAGCAAGGCATAGATATCTGTGAAGGGAGGGAGGGTAAGCAAATGTCAAAGGGGTGGGGGGAGATTAGAGTGTACCAGTCTCATGCTGACTACCCTTCGATCGAGCCCACAATATAAGGCAATGAAATACTGGGATTATTGTTTCAGCGGTGAACGAGTGTGCAACGATGACCGGTCTTTGTCCAAACGGAAGATGTGAAGATATGCCTCATGGATACAGATGTGTTTGTAACACTGGCTATGTTTATAGAAACGGTACATGTGTTGGTAAGTTGAAAGCAAAACACTTTTACCTAATTAGCTAGTGCAATTGTTTGGGTTCAATAAGTTGACATAAGCCTTTGAATCTTCATTTAATGGTGGTCATACAACTATTTCAAAAAAGGTTGTCATCGCCAAAGGCGATAGGCGATAGGTCATTGCGACATAAACATGGTATCGATGAATGCAAAGAACATCGAATCAGTCTCAGCACGAAGGTCCATACTCTTGACGAGAAGAAGAAGAAACACAAGTCATTCCAGCTATTCTTGGATCTTGGAATGACCTATCTCCTATCGCTTTTCACTTATCCCCTATCGCCTATTGCCTTTGACGATGACAACCTTTTTTGGAAAAGGTATATACTTATTTCAATAAAGTTAGTCACCAAAAACCTAGAAAGCTGTGATCGCTGAGAATCATGGGAAATATTTTATTTACGACAAGAAAAGCTTTTGACACAAACTGCAGAAGTTGAGGATGCTCAGAGTTGAGACTGTAACTGGTAGAAGATCTCAAGTCCATCAACAGTTATCAAGCGGTTAAAACATGTAAAATGTATCTACCCATAATCCTTGTCGGCCTCAGCTTTGTAGCTTTTCAGGTGACTAAGTTCATTGAAATAAGTGTATACAGCCAGAAAAAAAAGCTATTGAAGAAATTTATTAATCTGAAAGTGATGCCAAAAATTAGTAATCTTTTTTTAGGATTATTATTATTTTTGCTTATTTTTTTGCATAATGCTTTACAGACAGGAATGAGTGTGTCGAGAATCCTTCACTTTGCCCAAACAGCCGCTGCGTGAATACTGAAGGCTCATTCCGATGCACTTGCAACAAGGGGTACAAGCCCGGACCCGATGGACGAGGATGTGTAGGTAAGATAAACAATGCATGGTCTCATTTTCAGCGGAAGGGACACTCATAATTGATTTGTGGATGCCATTGTCGTTCAATTCCAAACAAGCATATAAGATCCATTCATTTAGCCAGTATATAACGTCCTTTGTTTTACGAGCCTGATGCTATCAAACTTTTAACCGCATTTTATGATCAAATTGGAAATAGCTTGTTATTATTTGCGGAGTGTGGTAAACAGAAGAACTCTAAGAAAAGCCCTTAAAGAACAGTACAGCAGCAAGAAGCAACTCTACTAACATGATAGTTTCAGGAATCGAACCAACTTAGAGATACTGCAGAAAGAAGCTGGACTATAGCAGCATACACAGAAACTCTGGCTCTGCATCCAGGAAAAATAACGTATTTAACAGAACTAATACCTTTTATATGTTTACAGATGTGAATGAATGTGTTGAGCAAAACGTCTGCGAAAATGGACGATGTACAAATACTATTGGTAGCTTCAGATGTACTTGTAACACTGGTTACACACTTTCGTTAGACAAAAGTCGGTGTGATGGTAGGTATTGCGCTTTTATTGGTCTCTAAGAGCATTTTTTCGTATCACTGTGAAAAAGTCGTCGTCGTATGCGTGCCTGGCAGTGACCGGGATGTTTTCTAGAATTTTGATTTGGGGATTATTTTCTCGCGCAATGTGATTGTTCTGGCAGACTCGTGAATTTGCGTTGACCATGTCTATGCCGTGTTTTGGGTTTTTGATTGGATGGAGAGTAATTTCTCGAGCAATGTGATTGGTCGGATTGGTCACGACCTTGTTCGTGCCGTGAGCGTTTCACAGTCATACGAAAACTGCTATATGTCGCTGCCCAGTTTAAGAGTGCAGAATTCTGACTTCCCTGACCTGATAGAGCGCATAAAGTAAAAGAAAGTACATCGCCGGAGAGGTTGAAAAGAGGCTGATCATATCAACCACATCGTGAGCGAGTACAGCAGAGTACCATTTTTCTAATTCACACTTTTCTTTTAGATATGAATGAGTGTCTTAAGCCAAATGTCTGTCGTAACGGAAGATGTGTAAATGTCGGTGGAGCATTCCGATGCATATGTAAAACTGGATACGAGTTAAGTGAAGACAACCGCAACTGTGTTGGTGAGTAATAGTCTGGAAAACACATATACGATGTTGCTCAAATGGATAAACTGATTTGTACGTATGTCCTTCACTGCTATTGCTCGATACTTCAATCGTACAACTCGCGAGTGAAGACAACTGTTACTGACTGGCCGAGAGCCGACAGCCAATCCTTGATATCGCGTGAACTTGACATTATAAATGTGTAATCTGCTGGAAAACCTACAGATAATAGATTTATCATGTCAAGTTCACTCAAGGTCACGGCAAAGATTGAAATATTTTTTCGAAAGCAAAATTTAACTTTTATTCTTAGTTTACAAAATGTATGATAAAACGATTATTGAATTTAGTTTTCGCATGATATCGTAAATTATCAATACCTCGGCTGTTTTATCCGCCTTAGTCTAAGGCTTCGGTAGAYTATACTGCCTTGGTGTTGATAATTTACGAGATAATTTATTCGCTCAATTACTTACTTACTTCACGTAGATACCAACGAGTGTAAGAGTCAAGGGCAGATGTGCCGTAATGGCGTCTGTGAGAACACTCCTGGAAGCTATCGTTGTGTCTGTAACAGTGGATTTGCGTCTACCTCGGAGGAAAACAGATGTGAAGGTCAGAATAGAAACTGAACAAAGGAAAATCTGCAAACATTTTTTGTCTAGCATCACTACTCTTATTGCACTGTTCGCATAGATTCCCTACGGTATACAGTCAATCCAAAAAACGTTGTCGTCGACCGGCTCAAGCCTACGCGACTGGACCGAAAGGAATATGGGTAAAAATCACTGAAGCGGTTAAATATTCGTTCTGAATTAATTGTTCCCGCTAGTAATAAGATAATAATGGCGAGAAACRATCCATCAAATGCATGTCTTCGGGTTTAGGTGAAGAAAAACAAAGTAGTTATGATTCAGTTCACAATTCCGAAAATATGAAGGCATTAATGAACGTCTCCTCCAACACTTCCCGCCTCACCTACGAAGGTTCGTGCTGTAAACCAGGCATAACTAGTCAGATAAAATTATGGAGTCAACTCGGCTTCAATGATTACTACCCAGAGTTCCTTTCGGTCCAGTCGCGTAGGCTTGTATTGGTCGACAACATTTTTGAATTGACTGTATATTCCTAATGCGGCGCTCGATTTGAAAGACAAACAGACACCCTCAAGACAAACAATAGTGCTCTCCCAACATCCCACGCGTTTAAAAATCACGATAAAAACTGTTAATCCTTAGTACTGATTAAATTGTAGATATCAACGAGTGTATATCGGTGCAAAACGTGTGTTTGAATGGAAGATGCGTCAACTCCCCCGGAAACTACCGATGCGTCTGTGACGCTGGTTATGCTGTAAGTGCAGATGGGCACAGATGTGTAGGTAAGACAAGAAAAGATGCATACTTTACCATTACTTCGTAAAAGTGCAAGTTTCTTTGGCCATACGGACCCAATAAAGGAAATGCACTTTTTACGGATGTCATTGGTGAATAGGTGATCTATATCTCTAATATGGACCCCATTCATTCTCGAACGATTTTCACTTTGTTCTAATATCATATATAAGTTTCTCTGACGTGATTGGTCAATAGATGGTCAATTATCTTCCATATTGACCTCATGCATCCTTGAAAGACATGGGCGTTGCTCCTTCACTACTGGTCAATAAGCARTCCAAAATATAAAGTACAAGATTCACTTGTGACGTATTCTGACACCATTGGTCGACATATGGCCCGTGATGTTTTAATACGTCCATCTCCTTTGAGCTATATACTTCAAAGGGATACACTGTGGTCAGTAGATTTGACACTAGTCAGCTTGATGGGTCAGACAGATAACGAGCAAGGAAAAAGACAAACTTCTATTTTCTAACTACTCAGCAAGTACTAACTACTAACGATCACATGAAAATCACGTTTTTTCATTAAACCTAGAGTTACATTTTTTTCTTTTTCAGATATTCGTAGGGCTCAATGTTTCTCGAAGATCTTAAATGGCCAATGTTCAGAGCCACTGTTGAATCTATTGACAGTCTCTCAATGTTGCTGCGGTATGGATAATGGGGGTCAGAGGGGGTGGGACACGCCCTGTTCCCCTTGTCCTCGAAAAGGAACAGGTACGTCTTTAGCTTATAATTCAATGAATCAAAACTCAAGTTAARTTCTTGGAAATTCTCCGATATATCAAATAGACCCCTTGCACTGAGTCCTAAACTAAGAGTTGCTTCTTTTTTCAGCCGAATACAAGCGAGTTTGCTGTAAAGGGCCTGGAATGGCATGTGACGGTACAGGTAAGAATGACAACATGATATAAAGGCTTATAATTAACTTCCTTCGAAAAAAAAAAATTACCAAAAAAGTATTTTAATGAATTCAGAATTTGTGTTGGTTTTCAACTTGACCCACATGCACTTGCTCACACACTATCATTACCTTCGAAATACTATGCGTGCAACTCATTACTCACACGTTAATCACTATGTTAATTTTTTTTCAATATATATATTTTTTAGTTAGTCTAAATGAAAAAAACTATGTTTTGAATAGATATTGATGAATGCCAGAACACCGCAGGAATGAAGATAGGAATATGTGAGAATGGAAATTGTCGCAACACCAATGGAGACTTCGTCTGTGACTGTAAGACCGGTTATCGAAGTGATTCGACTCGAAAGCGTTGTATCGGTAAGTGAACATTACCAAATAGATTCCACTAAAAATGTAGCCGCAGATGTCCCTKGGCTCGTGACGCAGAGCGTTGCGTGACGACCCTAAGGACGTTTGCATACGAAGCTACGGGTCATAGAGTGGWTACCAATGAATAATTTCAATACACCATTAATATCGTGTTCTAATATTTTAAATCTTAGAAATTGACGAGTGCTTGGAGAATCCTCAGCTTTGTAAAGGAGGAACGTGTAAGAATCTCCCCGGAACATACCAGTGTGTCTGTCCAACTGGATTCAGCTTCAGCTCCGCAACACAGATGTGCGAAGGTTAGATTTAGGTTTAGACTTTATGTTATCTCTGATGAAGGAGATATAGACAGTCTTCCTGTGGTACCGATTCAACATCAGTCCTCACGACTCTTTCAAAAAAAAAAAAGGGATGGGGGGTGGGGTTAGGTAAGGTATAGCTAGAAATGCGCAGCGTACATTAAATCTCCTTCMATAATTTTTATTTGTTTTCCCTTTTGACAGACATTGACGAATGCGCAGTCAAAGACCAGTGCGTCTATGGAACGTGTATCAACTCAAGAGGCAGCTTCTTGTGTGAATGCCCACGTGGACTAACCCTAGATGCAACCAAACGAATTTGTCAAGGTGAAAACACTYGATCTTTTTCAAACATTTTGCGCTATTTGCACCTAAAGTGTTTCCTGCAATTACATGCATTTTGAAGAATTAACCAACAATTTTTCGTGCGCACAGAGGGATCATTTTCCTTATATAACTGCAAGTTTTGATGCCAATCTTATTGTTGATTCAGATCGTCGAACTGCCCAATGCTGGACAAAGATTGTGCTTGATAAATGTGAAGAACCCATCAATGGTGCTGTTACCAGGGAAGTGTGTTGTCAGTCGGCTCTTGGTAAAGGATGGGGAAGCCCCTGCCAAAAGTGTCCGACTTTGAGTAAGATGTTCGAATACTTGRTTATTAGAATGTTAAGTAAATGTGTGGGTTTCTGAAGCTGTGAGAAAGTAGAGAGGAGTCATTATGGATGGATTGAAGTCAGTAAGCAAGCAAGCAAAGGAATGAAAACAAGAATTAAGGAAATATAAATTTTAGGAATGAAAGAAAAAATGAAAGGAAAGAAAAAGAAAGAAGGAAGTGGAAGAAAGGAAACAAGGAAAAAAGAGAGATGAATGAAATAATAGAATTGCAATGGAAGGTCGTAAAAGACCAATGAAAGGTATGGATGTGGGCAAGGATGGAAGAAAACAATCAAAAAGTTATCCATAACATTGACAATAATGCCTCGCTTTACCAATGCATCCTTTTCTTTTTCAAGGACAAAAGTGTGATCCTGGTTATGCCGTCCAGAATGAACCAAGATGTACAGGTACGAATGGTTGACACACAAAGAAAATTTTCTTTTTTCACAACCTTGCGCACCACTGCCTTATGGCTAGAGTCACTGTATAATACTCTCGCATGTTTTMTCACCAGATGTCGATGAATGTTCGGTATTCCCTGGGTTGTGTCGCAACGGCATCTGCAGAAACACACCCGGAAGCTACCGATGCGAATGTTCACCAGGGCTAACATTAGATCTTACAAGGAATGTATGTGTTGGTAGGTATTACTGCAGAGACTTGGAGTGTTATTTGACCCATAGATGCAAATCGACATACAGTAATTTTTTCCCCCCACTGGATGTACAAGAAAGTATACACGCACAAATTAAAAGATTCCTTTCTTTTCCTTATGCTCATATTTGGTTTTCTTTGGTAACGAAGGCATGCTAGAGAAAGCCTTTCTTCGGGACGGAGACGTTGAGTCTTGTGAAAGGGAAAACAAGATGCAGTAGAGAAGGTCGAAGAGGGAAGAATATGTATACTTACAGCATTCGTATCTCTAGTGAAATCCTAGCTTATTGTAATGAGGAAACTRCATCCCTGTGGAAGTCAAAATCGCGGACAATAAGGAAGAAAAATATAGAAATAGGAGGCTGTGTTAATGAGCGCGGAAGAAGACGAAATTTAAGAAGGAAAGAAAGAACTTTTTAACGACTTTATGTACCCGAAAAATAACTTTCGCATAATATTTCCATTTTCAGATCTTCGTAAGGACACTTGTTATATGTCAGTCTCAAGCGCCGGGTGTGGAAAAGCGTTCCGTGGAAGTTACAGAAAAGAYGATTGTTGTTGTTCATCCGTCAAGGCTGCTGGATGGGGAAACCCTTGTCAAGAGTGCCCATTACAGAACACTGGTATTAATAATACATTCTTGTTTTATTACTATTATTACTTTTCTACGGTACCATTATTTTGACTGGCATCGTTCTTGACGCAATTATCGACCGACCACTTGCGCATCGACCACTCGGTTTCCTCTGATCGGTCGTTTACTAAGTGTCGAGTGAAGAAGAAAAGGTAATATGCGTTTTTTCTTTTCTTTAAGATGAATTCAAAAGGCTGTGCGGTACTGATAAACCAGGATTTAAGCTCATCGGACCGAGAATCTCGGGTAAGTACTAAGTCAGTCAGGACTACCGTACCAAATACAAAAACACTATTCCTTCCGCTATCAAATGAGAACTAGAAGCGCAATGGTAGATCATTTCAATTTGATCCGTCGTCGAAGGTGTTAGTCATAAGCTTCTGGCTCAGGGGAGACAGAGAAATCAATTTCTACGTGATCAATGCAAAATGAATGATATTTAACTGTGATGTGTTTGTTTTTGACTTTGGACACTTCATATGTAGGAGCGAGAATTCCTGAATTGACCCGAAATTGATTTCTGTGGTACATTTTCTTTAGATATTAACGAATGCAGCATGATGGAAGAACTGTGCCTTAATGGAAGGTGTGTCAACAAACAAGGAACATTCCAGTGTGAGTGTAACCAAGGATACGGTATCAGCGCTGATGGACGATTGTGCGAAGGTAAGATTTCAAATTGGTTTAACCATGCTTATCTTTTRACGTCCTTGTTTTAAGAGGAAAGCAATTAATAGCGCCCTCGTTCCAATATGGAATTGGAATTTAAGAGATTATTGCGCAGAGAGGAAAACCGGAGATCTCAACTTCCACACGTTATTGAGGCTTCAACGCAGTTCTAAGTTGTAACACCAAGCATACAGGAACATTTGTTGATCTAATCCTTATYCATTGTTTCTAGATATCGATGAGTGTATTATTTCTGCTGGTCTGTGTGGTAACGGCACATGTACYAACACTCCTGGTGCATTCCGCTGCGACTGTTACCGAGGGTTCCGSAACGCACCAATGATGATGGAGGTCTGCATAGGTAAGCTGCTAGACATTGATTGGCTAGGCAGAATCATGTGACTGGTTACGTGAAGGAGATAGCGGTAGACTTTGATTGGCTAGGTAGAACCACATGACTGGTTGCGTGGAAAAGATGGTGACATTAGAGGTCTACTTAGGTAAAATTCTAGACTTTCATTGGTTAGATAAAATCATGTGACTGGCCAGGTACAAAAAATGGGGGCATGATAGGCCTGCATAGTTAAAATTCTAGACTTTCATTGGTTACATAGAATCATGTGACCAGTCATGTGGAAGCAAAATGGCATGRCTATCTTTATAGCTATGGCCTACATTTTGATTGGCTGGCAGAAGTAGGCTGGTGATCAGTCAAATGGGAGTGCTTGGAGGACTATGCAAGCTCCATGATTGTTYTGATTGGCTGATGGTTAGTCATGTGACAATCAAGCAATGATTAGTCATATGGAATGCTTTTAAGACCCTATGCATTGATTGGCTGATAGGCACCCATGGTTGGCCAGTGACAATCAGGTTAGGTTATAAGATCATAATGATCTCATGTGTTTTATTTTTTTAGATATTAATGAATGTGAGCAGAGCCCTTGTTCAGATGGAAGRTGTGTGAACACTATTGGTAGTTACAAGTGTGTCTGCCCTGATGGAATGGAACTCATGAARGATGGAGTCAGTTGTGAAGGTATGTCAACAATATTATTTTGTTCTTTCTAAACAAATGACAGGAGATTCAACCTTAAAGTGCTTTGGAAACCAAATTTTCACCCTCTATTTTACTATGAAATATAAAAATCATGAGTTTCTGATTATCATAGTGCAATTTGTTTGAAATTTAGTTTTTGAAAATATTTTTTTTCCCTTTGAAAAATGTCACTAGTTAGAGAATCACTACCAAATATAGCATGGAATCATGGAGTTTAAAAACAGATATGCTCAAAGCAATATAGCACTTCACTTATGTATGTTCTTACACAAGTCTTGAAAATTAGATATGAAGTTTTTTCAGTTAATTAACAAATAAAAAATATTTTTATCTTTGATTGGAAAAATCATTTAAATAGGTTTAGTTTTATTCTGAGATCAGTCCTCTTCAAGCAAGTCATAATATAAGATTCACCAAAAGATAATAAGTGAATGTAATCTTATTAATGCACAAATGGCTCAATTTTCTAAGAYAGGCTTCATTATTATCAACCTTTAGGAGAACATGCTTTGTTTTGTCATCATTCACTTCACATGGAATTGTCCCACAAGAAATTAAAAGCTATTGCACCCATGCAAATTGGCCCTAAAATTTGGTATTATTGATAAACCTCCTAGCTTGCAGTAAGGGGCCATTCATTATTTGCTGAGGGAGTGGGTGAGATACGCCAAGATTAATTCAAGCAAAACTAAAAACATTATGACTCCTTCAAAGACAGGGTTTCCCACTTTTTATTAGGAACTTGGGATCCCCCCATCTCCCCCCCCCAAGAGTTGCTTCTTTTTTCAGCCGAATACAAGCGAGTTTGCTGTAAAGGGCCTGGAATGGCATGTGACGGTACAGGTAAGAATGACAACATGATATAAAGGCTTATAATTAACTTCCTTTGAAAAAAAAAAAATTACCAAAAAAGTATTTTAATGAATTCAGAATTTGTGTTGGTTTTCAACTTGACCCACATGCACTTGCTCACACACTATCATTACCTTCGAAATACTATGCGTGCAACTCATTACTCACACGTTAATCACTATGTTAATTTTTTTTCAATATATATATTTTTTAGTTAGTCTAAATGAAAAAAACTATGTTTTGAATAGATATTGATGAATGTAAGAGGAATCAATCTCAGTGCCATGAGAATGCTTATTGTTCAAACGAGGTTGGCTCGAAACAAATCTTTCGAGCAAGAATGAATAAGAAAATAAAATACGAAAATACGTTTATATTYATGTGTTGTCATCTTACCTCTAGATAAAAATGAGTGCTCTGATCCTAATGTGTGTATCCATGGGCGATGCCAGAATTTCAACGGTGGTTATCAGTGCATCTGTAACATTGGGTTCGAGCCGACAGCCAACATGAAGGACTGTGTGGGTAAGAAACAATTTTTTATKTACAAGAAATTTATATTTATAAATTAATAATAGAATATATTAGTAATAGAATTATGAAATAATTTTAATATGTTTTAAATAAAAACTGTTTACCCCTGTGTTACCTACGTGTGCCAGCCGAAAAAATGAATTAAAAGGTAAAGAATAAGAAAGTTTGTCAGTCAAGGAATAGAACTCCATCTTGAAAACGAACCTCGCCTGTATAGGAAGGCTAGGTCACATTTGAAATCCCTTGGCTTCAAAAACAGAAGAGAAAACTAACTGGAAGGACCATCTATAGATGGAAATAACTACGTAGCTTCTAAAGAGTCAGTTGGTTTTAGAGAAGACTTCCTGACCTAATCTATTGTTCAGCTAAATAGGTATCCCAGGCCCTTTTCGATAGACATCGGTTGTAAAAACTTACTTTGTGTTTCTTCATGCAAAGATTGACTGAACACATCTAGACTTTTATAGAAGGTGCTGGTGAATTTATGCTTATTTTGTTGGTATTTTATATCAGATATTGACGAGTGTTTGGTCGAGAACGGTCGATGTGCTGAAGTTTGTAACAATACTGTCGGTAGCTACACCTGTGCATGTAATGCTGGATTTACTTTACAGCCTGATGGGAGAACGTGTGAAGGTATGACACTTCTTCGTTTCTTTCCTTCCTTCCTTCCTTCCTTCCTTTTCCCTTTACCGTCCTTCCCTTCTAAATTCCCTCTTTCCTTCCCTCCCTCCTTTCCTTCACTCCGACCTTCCATTCCTTGTTTCATTCTCTTCTTTCTTCCTCCCTAGCTCCCTCCCTCCATACTTTCATTCCTTCCCTCCCTGCTTCCTTTTGTCTCGCTCCTCCCTCACTCCAGGACTAGATGCCCACTTCGTTTGAATTTACAGCATGAAATGTCAATTATGAAAACTCTTAATCAATTTGGCTTGATTTAATTTAAGATCTCAACGAATGCAGGGAGAACCCAGACATCTGTGGCAAAGGGAACAARTGCACGAATATAGTAGGAGGTTACTTTTGTACATGTAACCCCGGGTACTCGGCGTCCGTCGATAGAAGATCATGTATTGGTAAGCAAAGCAAAATTCATAGCAATTATTATGCAATCTAAGCATGGAATAAGTTGGATAGTAATTTCCTTTTGAACTTGTGATTGTTGCGTTCTTATACTTAWTCAAACATTGTTGTAAAAATCAATATAAGACGTTTTATAAAATATTTGAGATATAACGCGCATGCTGATTGGCTGGTTACCGTGTTTATATCAGAAGACAGAGACGTTCGCGCAAAGTCGTTCAAAAATATTTTATAAAAGYAATATAAAACGGCTGCGTGTGTCTCTGTACTGTGATATAAACACTCTGGGAGCTGTAGAGCACTCGATAAGCAATAAAAACACTGCTACACCTTGTGTTCCTAAGCTTGCTTCTCTCGTGCTATACAGCTTCYAGTGTGTTATATCACAATAGACATGCGCGCRCATTTTATATTCCTTAAATATAGGATCAATAAACAATTTACAGCCGTTGCACACTTAAAATATTTTTTCTATTCAGTTATTTGTATTTGAATAATTCAAGATATAACGTTATAGAGATCAATAAACGATCCACGGCTGTTGCGCACTTGTGTATGACGACACTCGCGCATATGTAAAAAGGAAATTAAATATTTTCGATTTCGAAAGACCAAGAAATGAYTCACCTGAACCTCAATATTCTCTTCAAGATGTGGATGAGTGTCAAGAAGATCCCAGACTTTGTACAAACGGCGTTTGCAGAAATACTCCAGGGTCCTTCAAATGCCTCTGCGGCAAAGGATATGAAATAGCTAAGGGAACTACAGTATGCGTGGGTGAGTATACATCCAGATAAAATCGATATAGCTCACAAATTCAAAGGTAGAGACATGGTTTTGGATTGACAGCTCACAGCAAAGTTTCTCTGTTACATTTTAACTCTAAAAACTTTGTGAGTGAAATATAAAAAGATTTTCCATTTTTTGTCGTTCCTTTCAAATTTAACCTTACAATAAATAAAATAAGCTTTTTTGAAGTGATGTTTCAAATACGAGTTGCTGAATTCTATTGGGGTTTCAAAATCCGAGTGGAAGTTCAAATGCCTCGCCTACACCCTTGGCAATAGAATACAGGGGCGAGTATTTGACACGACCTCTTATACTCTTTTTGTTATGTTTGTTTTTATTTCAAAGTTCTACTACTTTGAAATATTTTAAAGTCCGAGTAGTAGGACTTGGAAATATTTGAAAGTACTAGAACTTTGAAATGGTTGCGGTCGTATTTGATGGGGGTTTCAAACTACTGCACCGTGGTACAAATAAGAAACCCTGGTTGGTCGATGAGCTCATAAATTATTAATGAGCATAAGATTCGTTGTTCTCTCTGTTCTCAGATATTGATGAATGTAAGAGGAATCAATCTCAGTGCCATGAGAATGCTTATTGTTCAAACGAGGTTGGCTCGTTCCGATGTGAATGTAAACCTGGTTTTGTTGGTGATGGATTAACGTGCACAGGTAACATTCTAACACTTTTACTTTCTAACAAAAGTGCTTTACATAACTTTAATTTCGATATTCAGTTATCAGAATTGCGCGCTTATCTACATTCAATAAACGTTAGGAGCCACGAAGAACAGTAATTTTGGGATAAACATCAGCAATAAACTATAGAAATACACTTCTATTAAGAATATAATCTGCTGTACAAACTCTTTGAATTAGATTTTTCTTTCTCAACTGCCTGTGGCTTGTCTAGTTTCAAAGGATGGGCAAGCRGCCTTGAACAGTTCAATTGATGATGAAAAATCAAATATCTCACTTCAGTTTTTGGAACAAAACGCATTTGAACTTGTATCAAGCGACCACTCTCGGGTAATATGCTACTGGTCGATCGAGGTTGACCGCTCAATAAAGGTTCTGAAGTAGTCAAAGATGCCATTATAGTAAGTGTATTACTGTAATTTCTGTCAGATGTGGATGAATGTAACGACGGAACTGCCAAGTGTAGCATCCATGGGACATGCGTTAATACTCCGGGATCCTATCAGTGCGTTTGTGAAACTGGGTATACCGGAGATGGTACCGAATGTAACGGTAAGTATGATTGATATAATGAATTATACCGGGTGTACCGGGGATTATACCGACTRTGAGGGTAAAGGAGAAGGAAGTGATGAATAAACTCACGGTGTTTCAATTGCCGGGTGTACCGGGATTGTTCCCGAATATGGATGACATGGCTAATTATACCGAGTGTACCGGGGATTATATCTATTGTGAGGGTAAAGAAGAATAAAGTGTAAGAGAAACTCAATTACCGGTATATCGGGGATGGTACCAATTGACTGGAGATCATTGTCAATCGATAGATATCAACGAGTGCCTCAACCAGCCCGAGCTATGTGAACATGGTCAGTGTGTTAACAARCCAGGGTCATACATGTGTGACTGCGAGCTTGGRTACCTCCCAGCACCAGACAAGATGAGCTGCCAAGGTAAGGAGACTAAAAACCTAAGAATGCATGCTGGCATGCATAGAGTGTTGTTGGAGAGCGAAACGGAAATTTTCTCCTATGGGAAATAAAACTTATGCAAAAGTAATGCATTTTACCTACAATACGCCGCCATTAAAACYCTTCAATTCGAGTGATGACGTTCATCATTTTTGGACGCCATGGATGGAACGGTTTTCGAATTGAAGAAAAAAGTGGTCGACATTTTGAACGAACACTAACGAGATATCAACCTACAGAGCCGGAATTAGTTTGACGTCAAATGTTCCTCGAATATGCTTGCCTAATTGCTTCTTCATTTTCAAGGCTTCCTTGTCAGAAAAAAATGTATGGCAGCAAATCTCAAATTGCTCCGCTTCGTAACTACCTCATTACCTATAATCCTTATTAACATCGGAAACACGTAGACATATAAGGTGTTTYCTTTCATATTCCAGATATTGACGAATGCAAAGAATTCAAAGACCTTTGTGCGCATGGACGTTGCGAAAACCTGCCGGGAATGTTCCGGTGTATCTGTGACCGAGGCTTTCAACTTACGAGATTGGGCAGCAACTGCACTGGTTAGTACAACAGTCACTTTTAAAAAGTTCTAGGAAAAAGCGTTGAATTTTGAGCACCAGATAATTTGACTTATTCAATGTGGGGACCATTTTCAGCTACAAATTATTTGACTTATTCAATAATGATGACCCACGCCCCTTTTTAAATATATATGAGTGATTTTTTACGACTTTGTTACAGCCCTYCTATATAATTATAACTTAAGTACTAATGTGTATTTTTGCCTTGATCGAAGATATCGACGAATGCTCGCTTACTGGCATGTGCCCGAATGGGAGGTGTGTTAACAGGATGGGGAGCTACACTTGTGAATGTGATGAAGACTTTGTGATTAACCGTGATGGTACAGGATGTATCGGTAAGTTTATGGAAAAAGCCTCAATTTGTTAAATACAAAATTCGCTCAGGGTGCAACCACACATGACTCAAAATCTCTTGAGAAATAAATAACCATGAAACAGCCTCTATGTTGGTTGATCTAACAAGACAGGCTAATAAGGAAGGCTTTAATTGTTATCGTCAACCATTAAAAAACACGCTAAACAACCTCCGCGGCCATTATCCCCCCCCCCCCTCATATTGTTAATTTCTCTAGCGCTGATTGGCTATTTTTGATGATCGATAAGAGGAGAGGGCCCCCCCCCCCCTCATATTGTTAATTTCTCTAGCGCTGATTGGCTATTTTTGATGATCGATAAGAGGAGAGGGCCCGGTTGTACGAAGCCTGGATAAATCCTTATCCAATGGATAAGTCGATGCTGTTGTTCAATAAGTTTATCCACTGGATGAGATTTATCCATTGGATAGCGCTATCCAGGCTTCGTACAACCGGGCCCAGACAAATGARCTGACGTCAACRAGCGCGCGCTCATTCCGTTGGTTGTTTTGATCACTAGAAAACATCGAAAAAATGCGTGTTAGTGAATTTTTTGTGGTAAAAAACAAATGGCTGAGCTTATGGTTTCACTTGAGTTTRSATMATATGCTGATGCCATTACATGTTSGATAAGAGTACAGACCATAGAAAAGTGACCTTCATGTGCAAACTGACCTTGCTTTAAACCTRACTTATTTTCACAGACATGCGTAAGGGATTGTGCTTCTTACAAACAAGAGGCAACAACACGTGTCTGAACCCACTCCGAGCTGTTTATCGTGGTATCTGTTGTTGTACAGTAGGGAAGGCATGGAATGGCTGCGACTACTGTCCWCGACCAGGAACAAGTACATATATCATACCATTAAATAACGATGTGGCATGTAATGTTCTAGTTTTGAATCAGACAACGTGAGAGTTAGGGTCCCAGGGGATGGGGCTTTATTCTCATTTTACGCCCAATTGTTTTAACACATCCCCTTTTCCCAGCGTCCAAACCGCAACCTTTTTTCTTCACCATTTTTTTTTCCCACCTTCCAAGCGACATCTAATGAATCTGACAATAATGACTCTAGTGTACTCTAGTGTATCTCACAACTGTTTGTCAGTTAATTTAAAAAAGTTAATTAAAACTCAAACCAGTTATGAGACAACCTTCTTATAAAGTAACTGTTACTGTTGGTTAACCAACAAAAACATTTTGAATTTTTTTCTTTTTTTCTTTTTCTTTTTTTTGCAATTTAGAGGAATATAGGAAAATATGTCCCGGAGGACATGGATTTGTGCCTAACCCTAACACTCTCGTTATTATTGGTGAGTCATATATATTCATTAAGGTTTGCTAGCTTCCCAGTGGTCTCTCTAGTACAATGCGAAGATATGAGCTTTAAACCTGCTAAGGACGTACGATATTCAACGATTTTAGTGGCCTCGTACTTTCCCCGACCTGCGGTTGCTGTTCTTATTTTCTTATTTCCCACCTTTTCCTCTCTTGCGCTGTCGTGGTTCTGTCGTGACTATGCTCTAGCAGGATTCTTGCTGTATTCCCTTTTACAAGCAACTCGTAGGTGACTTTCAATCATTCCTAAGATAAAGAAAAAATATAAGACCTGGCGAAATGTTCATTGACGCAATAAAAGAGACAAGTAAGACAAATCTTTTGCTAAATTCAWCCAAGATGGTGAGTATGAATTCCAATAACGCAGCAATGAATAATTTACCAAGTACGTTGTTTTTCAGATGTGGACGAATGTCAAGAACTTCCTAATGTCTGTAGTGAAGGTCGTTGTCTTAACACGATTGGAAGCTTCCAGTGCACTTGTTCTAATGGTCTGAGGCATGATATCACCACGGGAAGATGTGTTGGTATGATAATGTACAACACTGAATTCTAATGCGAAAATCCTAAAAAAAAATCTTGTAATGTTAGCGGAAAGTCGATAAAGTTGACTAGTAACATACAAAATACCACGGTCAAGGTCACTGTACAGTTGGAGATATTTGTTGTTGCTTTGTTTCTTTTGGAGCTCGGTTTATTGGTGTTACATGTGTTGTTATTTGTCCTAGATATCGACGAGTGTACCGAATACCARTACATATGTGGTTTGGATGGAAGATGTATCAACACGCCTGGTAGTTACAGGTGTGAATGTCCACCTGGTCAAGTACTGGATCCTGTTGATGGATTCTGTGTAGGTAAGTACCGAGTACATGTCACTTTAGAGCGAGCTGTTTTCATTCAAGTTTGTAAATCCGAAATGGGTGGCACGATCGATTACGGGACGGTTTTGCACCATCGGTGCACGGAAAGGGGCAATATACCATTAGGGTATTCGGCATTGTGCAATTTATGCATGGCRTATTGCAGCTTTGAACCATCACGGCATGGAATGGGATATCATAGCACAACGGCACACCATTATGTAACGGCATTGTAAAATTATGGCACGCTTTTGTACCTGTAACGGCCTGACATTACACCTACTCGGCATAACATTGCACCACGGTATTTTGCAATCATGATACGGCATTGGACCAAAACGATTACGGCAGTGAACGACACCACCACCGACACCAAGAAACAGCACCATCACTGCACGGCATATTGCACCATCCCGACACGACATATTGCAACATGTCCCCTTTTCTTCTTTCAGATCTCGGCCGCCATTTGTGCTACCACGATRAACAAATCGGTGTCAATCCTATTTGTAAGAGCAGTTTTTCTGTTAACATTACTCGAAGGGATTGCTGTTGTACAATTGGCAAAGCGTACCTTATCAAGACGTGCGAGCGGTGTCCAACCAAAGGATCGCGTAAGTATAACACGTTATTGTAGCTGTCATGAAATACTCTAAACCTACCCTTTGTTATCTGCGTAACTTACTCTACAAGGAGAAGTTAACTGAAAATCAAATCACTTTTCTGTTTGAATAAACTCATACCATCCTTCGGTAAAGAGCAAATACTGTCCTGCATACTAAAACAACATTTGTTGTCAACACTACCAAATACACTTCAACTAYTTTCAGTAACAGTTAGGGTACGAAAATAAAATGCCTGGGCACACGCAGAAATATTCGACTCAGTCTATTCGGCGAAATTTTCATAGTCCGTTGTCGTCGAATCTTAAATTGCGTAATTCCACGCAWGAGACCTTTAACTTAGCCTTTTGGAGAGCTCGAATATCCATGCCCTTTTTTTCCCTCTTATGTCTCTTGCGTGGAAATAGTCTCGTGGAAACTGCCTCTTCTGCCCAATTACTTATAGAACCTACCACTTGTGTTATTTGTATATGTAATAGGACTCCATGCTGTCCAATTAAGAAATAATTGGACGAGGAAAATTCCGAGGACTGACAAAATTGGATGAGGCCGTAGCCCGAGTCCAATTTGGCAGTCAGAGGAATTTTTCGAGTCTAATTATTTCTTGATTGGGGAGCATGAAATCCCATTACCTATTAATTATATAGCTGCCTAATTAATCCCATATCAACAGACCTGTCCAATTAAGAAAATAATTGGACAGTTACCTATATAGGATTAATGAGAAGCTGTATAATTTAAATACTAACACTGGATTCCTTRCTCTTAACAGCTGCTTATTCAGTCTTATGTCTGCGCAAGGTTCCCCCTCCCATCACTAAAATTGCACCTCAAGTTCCACCCACTACAAAACCAGCAGGGCCAGTGGTTGTWCGCACCGACTTTGTCACACTATCACCATCCGGTACTGTATACACTGATGAAGCTGTTACTGGACCAAGAACGGTTGCACCAACTACCCCGTTTATTGGAATAGGTGAGGAAAGGCGGTTTTAAGTAAGAGTTAATTACCGAGAACGGAGGCAATAAGCCATATAAATATGTATTACTATATATTGACCTCGCATTTATAATAAGGGTTATAACRAWAATAAAGCCTTGTGAACAACAAAGAAAACCGTGTCGATTGATAAATAATATGAAGATGAAAATTGCCCGT